AGCAGGCTGAACAGATGGCAGCAGCAAGAGCTCTTGCCGCGGAGTTCAGCAAAGCCAAGGGAGGCAGCAGTAGGGGCAGGAACAGCGGACGAGGACGCATGAACGATGGCGGCAGTGGCAGCAGGCCTGGCGGCATCGGAAGAGCAACCCCTACTCGATACGATGCTCCTCCGACTCAGATGAGTGAGTCGACTCCTTGAGAGACCATTGTTCAATTTGCTAATCCTTGCAGACCGTCCTATGCCTTCTTCTTCGCGTCCTGTCTTCACGCAGCCGCAAGTCAATCGAGCCAGAGTCCAGCCTTCCGCCGTCACTCGTGTCGATCCCACTCTCGCGGGTTGGTTGGCAAACACGCCTCAGACTGGTCCAGCGACACCGATGACGCCCACGATGCCGACGATTCCCGCGAACACAGTGCCTGCTCGCTCTGACGCTCCGATGGAAATCGATCAGAAACTCGCCAGCTGGCTTACACCCCAGCTTAGCCCGGTTGCCGCTTCTCCCAAGGAGACTTCGACCAGCCGTGCCTCGTCAAGCATACCTGTCACCAAGATTGATGGCCCCGAGACATCGAAAGCCGCCGTTCCCGGAAATGCTCAAGCTGTGTTCCAATCCAACGCTCCTCCGCCTTCTCTGGAAAATGAGGCTGTCTTCCCTCCTGAGACGACTGTCCGTTCGAAGCCGAGTGGCTTAGGAAAGAGCTTGCGGATCGCTCACGAGGCAAAAGTCGTCAGGAAGCAGAATAATATGAGCGGAGTGGGAACTACTGTCAGTTCCAACTTGGATGCCAAAGCTTTCGCTCTTTTCGCCAAAGACATTGAGTTGGTGACACAGCCGCAGTCTAACAACAACGTACAGGCTCCTCTCCTTCATGAAACCGTTCACAACAAGCAATATGCTGAAGCCTCCTCCTCCACGAAGACTGAGACCTCTGCTGTTAAGTCAGAGCTCAAGTTCGGTTCCGTCGAATGGGCTCTGGCGCAGCTCGAAAGTGGCCGGGAACTTCCTGGCCACCATGAGTTCCACGCTCGCATGGCTCAAGAAGTCGGAAACATGTCTGGCGCTATGCCCGCCACTGATGCTCACTCCGAAATTATCAACAACACTCAGTCCCTCATTGAGCAGCAGGAGACAACCGACGAAAAGAAAACAGCGGAGCCTCAAATGAAGGAACCCTACTGCAACTGCCCTAAGAGAAGCCACCCAATTATTGGCTTGGCGGCTTCATGCTACAACACGGATTCTGACGGCGATCATGACCTCACTCGCATGAAAGGTGCGTCGGATGCAGTGAAGAACAGGTTCGCGGTCAACGTAATCCTCCACGAGCACTCGAACCCAGACTGTCCCAAGCTGCTTCAGGCTGCTGCCCAATTCCCTCTTCACTTCGGCGCCAGCCCTGCCATGGTAGATGACCCCGACGATCATCTCCAGGTCATCCAATGGAAGGACTCGGACGGCGTATCCGGTCCCTCGAGCAGTGTGCCCGTTCGGAATATCAATTCATCTGGCCATCAGAACAACTCGCCCGGCGCTTCGAACAGTTTGGCTGTCGCCTTCAACAACTCGTCCGGTCCTCCTTTGGCTGGTGCTCCAGTCCCACAGCCGTCTGTCCGCCGCCGAAGAGGCATCAACGAATCTATGTGGGCTTAGATCGTCATCGGGATGCATCTCTCACCGTCGCCAACTCTGGAATGTTTGAATCGTTGCTCCTCTATGATCGGGCAACAATTGCAAATCCTTTGAGGGGCACTACTTTGACAGGAAATGGACGCGATATGGATAGGCAAACTTCCGCAGCCGTATCCTCAGATTGTTGAAGTTGTGACAACATCTCTGATCTCTCTCAGCACTCTTTAATGATGCCTTATAGCGGCAAGACCTTGAGCTGCTACAGAGAAAGGGCATGGAGGACGCCACTAAGCATCGTCGTCGGATGTCGGAAGATGGTGGGGGTTCGACGAGGCAGAGAGAGTTCTTGATGATGAAGATGATGATGGAAGGTTGACTTTGATATTGGCTTTGGGGGTTTCTCAACTTGGGGAAGCGGAACGAGATATCTCGTACAGAAGCCGCCCTGTGCGTCTGGAGGTATTAGGTAGTCCGCCGCCCAGGTCACTTTGCTCAGGAATGATACCTCACAGGCCGTCTAGGTAGATAGTCAATCCACAGTTTCTCAAAATTCCATGAATGCCAGGGCTTGATTCAATATGAGACATAAAGGCACTACCAAAGGGATCATGATCGAACCTGAAGATGGCTCCGGTGTTCATGGGCGGTGTATGTAATATGTACGTGGTCTCTAAATGCCAAAGCCCGCAACACCCGTAAAAAGGTAACCCCTTTTTATCACTTTTTCCCATGTTTCCCAACTCCTTTTTAGATTTCGTTCGACTGATGCCTCAAACCGATTACACTTCATGCTCATCCTCATGCGCTATTAATCTCCTTTTCTAATAACTTGACACCTTCCCTAACTTTGGGCGAAAAGTGCCTCCGCAGAAGCTCGCCCTCCCACACCGTCGTCGCAAAGGGATTGCTTCCCTCGACGCTGTCGCTGAGGGCGTTGTAGTTGCCGTCGCCCTTGCGCTCCTCGGTACACCACAGCGCGGCAATCTTCTTGCCGTGGGTGTGTCCGACGTCTTGCATGAGCGCGAGCGCCGCCTGCGCCGACTTATCGGGCATGTGCAGCGCCGCGGACATGATTTGCTTGCTGAAGGCCGCGAGGCGCAGGGGCGGGACGGAGCGGATCTGGTAGGCTGGCAAGAGGACAGCCGTGAGGCAGCGCAGGAGGAGGACGGTGGTGGTTTGCAGGTTGACGCGGTTGTCGCGGGTGGCGGCGGCCTGGGCGGGGCGGATGTGGAGGGATTTGGAGGTGAGTTCGAGGTCCGGGTTGAGGGAGAGGGAAGGGAGGGAGGTGAAGAGGTGGGTTACGAAGTGGGAGAGGTCGAGGTGCAACGCGGAGCGGGAGTTGTGCGCGTCTTGGCCTGCGAGGAGGGCAAAGGCTGTGACTGTGCAGAGGAGGGCTTCGCGGCTCGTGTTGCGGGATGCGCCGCCGAGGTCGTCGTCATCGTCGTCGTCTTGTTCGTCTTGGTTCTCTCCGTCGTCGTCGTCGTCGTCCTCGCGGTTGGTGCCCTCTGCGTCCTCCTGAGCGTGGCGGATGAGATCTTTGAGGGCCTCCAGGAGATCGCCGAAGAAGTCCTGGTTGATGAGGTGGGCGTACTTGGCCAGGCCTTCGAGCACGGCGCCCATGAGCCACGGCACGCGCATCTTGAGGATGCGGAAGTAGGACGCAAAAACGAGCTTCAGCGTCTCGGACTGCATGCGCTCGCGCTCCTCATGGCTGACGAGGGCGTCGGCCTGCTCCATGTCCTTTTGGATGGCCCTCTGCTCCTTGAGCATCTTGCGCTCCTTCTTGGTGCGGAACTCCTTTTTGAAGTTCTTGCGTGACTGAGGCGGGGGGGCACCCGGGTCGCGCTCCCGGTCGACGCGGTCTTGCGAGGCCTTGCCCGCGAACTCGTCGAGCAGGCGCAGGTGGAGGAAGAGGTTGAGCACGCTCTCGTCGACGCCAAAGTTGCGGGCCTTCATCATCTTGGCGAGCAAGGAGACGGCCTCCATGGAGGGACGGCCCTCCTCGTCGTCGACGAAGAGCGTCTCGAGCGCGCGGCGGCACTTGTGAAAGTCGGCATCGATCTTGCGCTTGGAGAGCTTGCTGACGAGGATCTTCAGGAGGTCGTTGCGGAAGTTGAAGTGCGGGACGGCGTTGACGAGCGTGCAGGCGCACGAGATGGCGACGCTCGAGATGCTCTGCCCTGTTTTCCTCGTGGTCGGTATATCGGCCTTTGCCCACTTCGCGAGCTCCTTCACGTAGCCCTGGTATCCGGAGACGAGGGCCTGCTCAAAGGCGCGCAGCTTCCGGACCTCCTTGGAGAGCTTCTCGACGGGGGCGTCCTCGGCGACGGGCCGGATGCGGTAGCCCGGGATGACGTCCTTGTAGACGGCGAGCTGGGTGGCCAGCGCGAGCTTTTGAATGGCCTGGATGCGCGACTGGCCAATCTTTGCAATGGCCTTGAAGGCCGACACGTTTTCCTCTGGATCCTCGTTCAGCGCCATGGCAATCTTGGCGAGCTCCTCTTTGGCCTGGTGGATCTGGACGGGCTCGGGCAGGTCCGACTCCTCCTCTTCTTTCCTACGATCCTGGCGCAGACGTTCGTTGGCCGCCTCGGCGGTGGCCTCCTCGTCCTCACGGCCCTCAAGCCACTCGCCGTCACTCGCGACCGAGTCGGCATCGTCGTTGTTATCGTCGCCCTGCAGGGACCGGTACTGCTCGAGGCGGCCGTCGGCTGTCTTGATGGGCAAGCGGGTGCTCTCCTTCTTGTCCTTCTTCCCCTTGCGCGGGCGGCTCTCGTAGTCCTGCTCTAGGTTCCAGCCGGCAGCGCTCTTGAAGAAGGACTTTTGGATCTTCTTGGACGACTTGCCGGTGTGATCGTTTTCGTCGTCGGGCGGCGGCGTGAGCCTGCGGCGTTTTGAAGCTCTAGAAGACATTTTGGGACAACAGATTTGTTTGGAATATCAATCGGAAGGGATAGAACACTTCGAAAGGAGTTTGTTTTGTGGGATTTGCCGCTTCGCTGGTCTTTAGAATGCTCTCGTCCTCGCTGAAAGAGAGATTTCTCAATGTACGGTGGGATTGAGTTGGGGACCCTGGGACCGCCAACAGCGGGAGGAGGGACCATCGAGAACTTTTTAGTGGAGGTTTTGGCCATTGAGCCAATGGAAACTCCGGGACACCCTCAGACCGCCCGAAATTTTTTGGGTTTCTGCCGCTACTCCAACCTTTTTCGCATCGCGATGCACCTGCATCCCACCTTTCGGCAACGGCACCTCTATTGTGAAAGATCCTACCTATCCACCAACGCTCGCCGAGTCCCAATCCGATTACACCGATACCGAACCGAGCACATTCGAATCGAAATCAAAACACCACCAGAAAGCCCAAGATGCGTCCCCTCACAGAAAAAGAGACCGAGACCCTCTTCAACAAGCTGGCCAGCTACATGGGCAGCTCGCTGAAGAACCTCATCGCCCCGCTCGACAACGGTCCCGAGCCCGATCGTTACGTCTTCCGCATGATCAAGGATCGTGTCTACTATGTGCGCCTCTCTGTCGCCAATCTTGCGACCAGCATCGCCCGCGATAAGCTTCTCAGCATCGGTATCTGCCTCGGTATGTTCCTCTGCGCGTGCAAGGCCAACCCCAGTTCTCGGTCAAGTCTTTGTGTATATATGGACTAACCACCGCCCCTTTTTCGCCATATAGGAAAGTTCACAAAGACTGGCAAGTTCCGCCTGCACGTAACCGCTCTTCCCGTCCTCAGCGAGCACGCAAGATACAAGATTTGGGTCAAGGTACGTCAGACTTCAAAACCCCCCAATTCGTTCGATTGGAGTCCGCGAAAGGAAGCATGTACAGTGGGACAGACATGCTAAGAGGGAAAAAATCGTTCAGCCCAACGGAGAAATGCCCTTCCTGTACGGTGGCAACATCGTAAAGGCCCACGTCGGCCGCTGGTCCGACGACTGCCCCGAGCACCAGGGCGTCATCGTCTACGCCATGGACGACAAGCCCCTCGGCTTCGGCGTCACCGCCCGCTCCACGGCCGAGGCGCGCCGTCTCGATCCCACCGGTGTCGTCTGCTTCAGGCAGTCCGACGCCGGCGAGTACCTTCGTGACGAAGATACCCTCTTTGCGACGAACAGTTAGATGGGTCGGTCTTGTTATGAGATATTAGAAGAGGAGGGGTGTGGGGGGTCGTTGTGAGGTAATGGCTGTGGTGGTTGCGCTGCTGCTGCTGCTGCTCTCGATACCCTCTGGGTTTTCATGTTTGGCACATTTGGAACGGCGTTTTGGGTTCACCAAAAAAGAAGAGCTTGAAGAACGGCGGGGCATTTTCTACATGGCGTTTTACTGTGATTGTTGGTCATGGGCAATCTTGATCGTTTTACTTTTGGGGGGAAGAATTCGCAGTTAGCTGTTGTTAGCTTACGGCTCTCCAGGATTTGGGTCTGCGAAGACCTGCTGGCTGTCTAGCATATATTGCGAAATTTCATCGACTGCCACATCATGTTTTTTTGCAAGAAGTTTGGAGAAGGCAATGAGCCTCATATGCGATGGCTTGTTAATGACGTTGATATTCTTACGGTCAGTAGCGTCGGCTAGGACCTTGATGATTTACTTGCCTTGTACTATGCGGTCCCTTGATATCGAGTTCGAAAACAGATTCTATAGCTGTGAGTATGTCTACTTCAGCGCAGATTTGGACTATTAAATCTGATGGTCAACACTGCCCTAGAGTTGGCTTGCCGATCCCGGTTCTACCTTCGCAAGGATTATCAAGTAAACACTCGTATGCAATCTTAATGAATTCATAGTTGGCAATTGGGAATAAGGGCACCATCTCTGTTGTGAATGAGCTTTTAGTTATCTTCTTTTATTGGATATCATAGATATGCCTGGTATATAGAGAGAGAGAGAGATTGAAAACATTAAATCATGCTGTATCCGTGACGATGCTCGTCATCATCGAGACCAGATGGAAGGAAAGAATGAGTAAAAGACCCATCCAGAACGCTATCAACAGTCTATACCTCCGTGGAGGACCTTCTGCCAAATTAAACTCCGTCTATAGATCCCATTTCTAAGATAAAGTGAATGGTATGTTCATTAAATGGTCGCGTAAAATGAGTGCCGGTTTAGAAGGTGAACTTCATCAAAGCGGGGTTGAGGAGTACCGGAAGGCAGAAGTGCGAAGTGATGGAGATAGCCACGGGGAAGATGGTCGCAAAGTAGCGAATCTGCCACTGGACGGGGAAGACGTAGTATCCGCAGACGATGAGAGCGATTCCCAGAGCTGTGAAGATGAACGTGCCCGCGAAGCTCTTGATGATCTTGGGGATCTCCTCCATGAAGTTGCAGTTCTCGACTTCCTTGGAAGTGGCGCCCCACTGGATGTCAATCTCGAAGAAATGGCAGAGCAAAGCCTTGGAGACGTGGAGCGAAATGCCGCCCAGGAAGATGGTGAACACAGGCATCCACTTGAAGTTGTCCCAGACTACATATGAAAAGATTAGCTGTCTGGTGTCGATGCAGAAGAAGAGAGGGAAACTTACGGGCTCCAAGGAGAGACTTCTGGCCAAGTCTGTACCTGAGCACAGCCAAGGCAACGTTTCCAGCGAGAGGGAAGACGACGATGATGGAGAAGAAGATAGCGAACGAATCGAGGTAGTACTTGTCGTAGTAACCAAAGAACCATCCAGTCAGGAAGTAGTTCATCAAGGTAAGGATCCATGATGCTCCGATAGCGTAGTAGGTGCCGATGTAGGACAGAATCGTAACTTTCCTGTAAAAGGCGATGTTGGAGAAGACAAACCGTCTGAAGAGGGGCGTGAAGGGGCCACGAGTAAGCCAGAAACGGAAGGGGTGGAACAGCAGCTCGTTGCATCCGTAGGCGTACTTCTCCCAGCGGGCCAACTCGTCGTAGACAGTGAGGGAGACACCCTCCTTGAAGCCATCACCGGTGTAGGCACCATAACGGATAGAGTAACCGGAAGTCTGCAGACGCAAAGCCATATCGAAATCCTCGGAGACGTGAGACTCAGACCAGAACTTCTCGTAGCCATCCTCCATGTAGGAAGCAGCATCTTGGAGAGCAGACCAGCGGAGGATAGCGTTGTGACCGACGAAGGGCGAGATATCACCGTTGGCGACGGCAAAGGTAATCATAGTGTAAATCATCTGCGTGAACCATGTGACACTGTGAAAAGAGATTAGCTGGTGTGCGTATGGAATGATCACTCGAATCAACTTACGCCTTCTCGAAGAAAGAGTCGGAAACCTGCATGACACCGGAGGTGTACTGAATGATGGCAACCTCGGGAGAAGCCTCCATCTCGCTAACGGCATCCAAAAAGCAGTCGCGGGGAACACGGGTGTCAGAGTCGATAAGAAGGATGTAGTCACCCATGCGGATGTTGCCCTCAGCCCACGTTCGGCCCTCAGACTCCTCGAGAACCTCAGCAAGAGCTTGCTCGTAGGCTTGATCCTCACTATCCTGGCTCCATCTGCTTCCGCGGTTGATCTGCTTGAGCTTCTCCTCAACCCTGTTGCTAGTCATCAGGGCGTAGTTCATGTTGGAGGCCTTCTTGAATCTGCCTCTGCGGATGAAAGGCTGAACGGTGGGGTCTGAAGGCTTGGGGTTGTGGCCGGGGCGAGCAACCCATCCCATGTTGTGCTCCTCATAGAACTCCCTACGGGCCGAGGCTTCGTCCTCGCTGATGAGCTGCATACCGTCGTCGTTGACAAAGATGCTGGCAGAGCCACCCTGCATCTCGTAGGTGGAGATAGCAGTCTTGAGAGAGAGAACCGTGGGCTTGATGACAGCGTTCAGGCCCTCCTTATAGACGGGCATCTGGATGGTGACGTGGGGAAGCTCGCCACGGTGAGGGCCAAGGCGACGCGGCGCCTTACCAGAGTAGTTCTTGGAGTTTGCGTGAACCGACGAGATGGGACCGAGGATCTGGAAGATATTTCCGGAAATAGACAAGAAGAAGAACTTGTGGTGCGTTAGTTCATGACAATCAGGTAATTCAGATTCGCAATACTCACGAGACTGATGAAAAGCGTAAGCGGGGTAACGGCCAGGAGTGCCCAGCGCGTGTAGCTGCCGTCGATGGTGGACTCCAGAGCCAGATTACGGTAACCGAGACCCAAGCACGCCACAGACAAGCAAAGCGCCGCCGAAACCATGATAGAACTGGTGAGTCGGACTGGTCTGACCTCAGCCTTGAGGGCTTCCTCAAGCGCGGCAGGCGAGAGTTCCTCAACGTTGACGCCGGCCTGCTTCTCGTTCTTCTCGTCGCCATCCTCCTCATCACCTCCCTCGTTACGCCAGATGTAGGAGATGATCATGTGCTCCAGGCTCTCTGCGCGGGCATGCAGTCTGTTGGCATCATCATCCCAGACGGTGAGCAGGGGAGGGTCGAGAACGAAGGCTGCAAAGTGATGCTTCTGACATCTGGGCAGATCGGTCATCCTCTGGAGGACTTGAAGCTGTAAGCCTCCAGCGAGAGGAATTGAGTTCAAGGGTTCGCCGCTGTTCAGGAGTCCGTGAATGATGGACTGGATAACAGGTGTGTTGACGGTCATGGCACACTAAGCAGGTGGTTAACTTGGAAACTTGGCTACTATGACGAGTGCCTGTGAGTACTTACGCTGACATTCAGCTGGGTGACCATATCGAAGAAACCATTGGGTACAGTGGATAGCTGAGGAGGAGCGCAGACATAATCGTTCCGACCCTTCTTGAGAACAACACCCTCACCCAAGTTCCACGCCGAAGCGTACATCTTCCTGAGCTGGTCCTGGTAGATGCTGTGGACAGTGACATCTGCCCTGAGGTCGATGATACTGCTAGCATGCTTGTCCCTCATACCGGCAGTGAGCGCCAAGCTCACTGTCGACTGTCGAGCGGATGTTCTGGCGCTGTGTGTCCGGTAAGGAGCCGGTCTCTCGGCCGCCTGCGGCTTCGGCTGCGGTGCAATCGGTTGCAAAGTAGTCGGCTTCGACGGTTCGGCCTCGGTTTGGCCCGACGCCTGGTCGGGCGCGAAGTATGTCTTGAAAGCCTTCATCTTGTGGAGACTGTGAAACGAACGAACCACAAACTGGTCAAACCACTTCCCGCCTTGAGGTGAAGAGAGAACAGGATGGTTGATTGTGAGCGAATGGAATGAGTGTTGGTCAGGGTAACCAGTAGCTTAGGGGGACGGGAAATCGGTTCAAGATATGTGAGACGGGACCATAGTAGAGACTCTGCAAGTGCGGAGGGCATCCATCCTGGGGACAAAGGTCTAGTCAAGCCGCATACACGGGGGCACCGGCAGCTGAGAGCAATATTATCTGGTCTAGCTGAGTACGCCAGGAGCGATATGGGCGGCCATGGACGCCTCCAATGCGGCAATGAAAGGCGTTAGTCAAGGATCGTATCGAGGAGGGGGGGACAAACAACGGTTGGCCTCGCCAGCACTCGCCGGTCGACCACGCACGCAAACCTGGGTTCCACAAGCCTAAGTCGTCCGTTCAAGACGGACTCCTAGCTGAGATGGGACTGGTGACAAGCGAAATGGTTCCTGACTTTGGTGCTCGAAAAGCTGGCGCCACCCGTGCGTTGGGTGGAAACCCGGTAGTCAGGTACAAAGAAGGAGAGAAGCTTTCCCCCATCGTGAGGGGGTAGCGTGGATGGAGGCGACAAAGGAGAGTCGAGGCCTTATCGCACAAACGATGGCTCTCCAAGCGTTGCATGGCCAAGCCGTTAGACTGAGAAACAGCCATAAACACCCCTGCGAAGGCAAAGGTGTGCTAGCTCATCGGCGTTGCCTTGGTCAAGTGCCATCATGATGATGATGCCGATCTGGAATAGGCGAGTTGATTACAGGCCACTGGCCAAGCGGGACGACACGGGAAGATCGCGAAAAAGTTCTTCTCATCAAGCCGGGAGACTGCCTGTGAACTGACACCGGCAACGACAGTGTTGATCAGGGCACTCGCCCACGCCGGAGACACGATAGTCGAAGCCGGCCAGAGAAAACCCCGGCGATTTTGGTGATCAACAACATGCTACCAAAACAAAAGGTTAGAGACAGAAGAACGGCGGATGATGGGGCAGTCTAGCTCAGGAACGACCAGAGCCGTCCTGACTTAGCGTGGTCTAAATCGGCCATCTCCTGAGGCTCTAGACTGTGCTTTCAAGGAGGTCGTGTAAGCAGAGAAGCGCAAGACAGATAGCTGATATCAACAGCCGAGAGAGGAAAAGGCCTTTTTCCAGTCCTTTCCTGACCAAGCTTAGCCTTGCCGCAAAGCAAGCCTCCGAGAGGTCTTTGACCATTGAAAACCTCCGCTCGTCTACTTGGCTTGCGCCGGCCAAGTTGGTTGTGGGCGCTAAAATTGGCATACCGCAAGCTGCAGGACAATTGATTTTTTGGCCTCTAGCTACTTTCGTCCCAGAACCCTGGTCACGGCAAGCTGGCAGGGCCTTCCGAGGTCTTGGTAACCTTATTCGTTGACCACTTGGGCGAGCAACCCTGGGATTGCGAGGGTATCCCACTTTTGGGAGAGACATAACGCTGACCGGGCCGAGTGTCTCTCTACGCAGTAGGTTTCCCGTTGTCTCTGCGTCGTGGGTGGGGGGACGCTCGTACAATAAGAGCGATCTTCAGACCGAGTCCTCACATAAGGTTTGTGTGTTTTGGCTCTAGAATAAGGTATCGGTCTTTTCGAGGAAGTAGAAGGGCGGTTGGATGCCTACATCTAAGATTGGTGGGCATTCACAGTTCTCCGCTTGGCACTAGCCACGGTGAAGGTTGTGAGCGGTGGTGAAAAATCACGTATTGGGGCCGACCTGAAGCACACCTCTGGCGGGGTGGAGGTGGATTCTTGCCTCGTTAACCCCAAAGGAGTTGGCTTCCCGTTGTTACTTGCTTTTTGGGAGCAATACGGTGTTTTCCACGAAGGCATGCAACAATGTTTCGGGAATGGTGTGCTCTCAGTCATTGTCTCGTCCGAGAGCCATGCATGACGGTAACTTGCAGAATGACTGGAGAGGATTTGGGCGTAAGACGGGAAACCACCGTCATCCCATGTAGCGGCGAGGTTCGGGCGGAATTGTCAATATGGGATGATTGAGATGAGATGGCTAGAGATTAGGTGGGCGAGAGTGGCTTGCTGAACCTGTGACATTGCCTGGTCCTGCCGATTTCCAGGGGTGGTATGGCGTACAAAAAGTGTTAGTGTGTAAGTATTCCATAGACCAGGCCCATTCCATGCACGTCGTAGATAGATGTGTTGGTCGTACAATGGTGGCTGAAGGAAGCCGGCAGAGGCAGACGATGGAACCCGATTGAAAGAGGGTGGAGGAGGGACGGGAAAGCTAGGCAAGCTGGCACGTTGGCTCGTTGGCACGTTGGTAGGCAAGCTGGCACGCCGCCCAAGGTGATGATGATGGCGATACATGCAGATTGCAAGGCAGCGGCAGCGCAGTCACGGATGGCGGCAGATCCTGGATGTCGTTTCTGCATTTGGTTAGATGAGGTTGTGTCTTGAGGTGGTGTCTTGGTTGCTTCGGTGGCACCCTTCCACCGGCACCTTCCCTCCCGCCTGTGCCTTGCAGAAACGAGCATGTCATTACACGTATAGCTGCTCATTGTGTTGTTTAGCTGCGTACTCATTGCCGTGAAGAAGTCCCATTGGATGACGTGATACAGAGCATATGCACTTTGAACGGCATATTCGCATATCCGCAACGTCCTATCGGGCTCTTCGGGGAGCGGCCGCCGTGTACCTCAGGTAGGTAGGTAAGCTGTGTTACTGGTCCTTTTCGCCTCGGGTCACGACAATCAAACATTCGAAATCTCTCGCCCGCAACACCCACTGCAACGCTGCAGATACCATGTGGCTGCATACGACTATCTTGCTTTTCTAGGCACCAGGCTCGACTGTGATACGTTCAAATCTCGACTCTCAGCTACTTTTGTGCTGCAATGCTGCACAATGGAGAATATTGGTCTGAAGTTCCCAACGTCTGGTCGCGCCGATTTCCATTCATCCCGACCGTGGCGCTTTTTCGGTCTTTCCCATGACCTCAGCTACTTCAAATCCACTTGGGTATCATCGCCTCATCTTTCGACTTGGGTCTATGCATTCGTTTCGCCATCCCGGCCAAATTCTGCGCTAGAGGCCTGAGCAGTCCGAACAGGCTGAACAATGGGTGCGGTGAATCCCAACAAAGACGCGAGTCAATTTGACTAGAAAGCCTCCATAACGCTGAATCTGCTGAAAGGAATCAAGAAACTCAAGTGTCGGTCTGCTGCCCCGAATCAGTCAAGTCTCTGGATTCTCTTTTTGATCGACACTGCCCAGGACGCGGTCTTGTTGCCGGCGTCCGTTGTGTGCTGCTTAACAATGGATGGCAGATCTCTCAGCCCAGCGGTTAAACGAATAGTTTCTGTCTCAATTCGCGAGCAAAGACTATTCAACACATGCTGGCTTCAGCTCTCAACGCATCATCTCTATCAAATTGACGATGAACGTGGCAATTGCATTCTTTTCGCGTAGCGAGCCCTAATACCGGTCAACCTTATGCATCAAGTTCAGCTGTCGGCGTGTCTGAACTCTGTACTGCCTATCTAGCCAACCCCTGAGCCTGCGCAGATCCCGTTTTCGACTATTGCCATCCCGCATACAATTTTCCCGGTTCACGATATCTCCGCCCCAGAACTGTCCAATCGAATCCTTGCAACGCCCCGTCTCGCCAACCTTACGAACTCATGGTTTTCAGCCAGAGCTGGGTTGCCGTCCAGTTGTTCAGGACATCGTGAAAGATTGCAAGGGTTGTGGCCCTGAACTCTCCAGAGCAGCCTTCGCCCTTTCAGACCTTAGCTAGTCCCACGTCGGACTGCGTCGAAAGGTCGAGACCAGGCTCGCGGCATCTGGCAGCGCTGTGACCAACATCGCGAACGCCGGCAGAAACTTCGAAAAGTGGAAGGCCCTTATTCACTAGTGTCCCTTTCTTTTTTACGCCCAGGACTGCTGGACCATTGCTCTTCCCGAGAGAACCTACCTTGGCATACGCAACATGAATCTACTGAAATGTCTTCATCTCGGGGGAGATGTCGAATAGCATTGTGACAAACAGGCAAATAGGGCGCACGACTGTAAGGAAGAATTCTCTTGTTGGCTACTGCAGGCAAAGACGACTTCATCACATTGATAATGCAGCCGCCCAGATGAGTTGGATTCGTCCAGCTCGTCGCAGCCTGGTCCCGCTTTCTGTGACCATCCGATCTGGATTGTCGATATCACATTGACTTTGTCAAATGATAAGACTCTGGTCACTTTAGCAGCTCCTTTCCCGCCTCGGCCTGCATGGGCCAGTCACGATTCTATTCTAGGTTGTTACCAGACCCCTCGAATCAGCAAGAGACACGATGAAAACGGCGAAAAGCAACCTTGCATCTGAACAAAGTGTCGACTCTCGAGATGGGACTTTGACAGCTGGCTGAATCATCCGTCGCAACGTCGCGGGGGCATCGGATCAACAAAGCGCTCACGTCTTAAACAGTGCCGTTCGCTGTATTCTACGAGAGAAAACACGGCAACATCTCCATATCCGGAAAGGCCAGCTGAAAAGACAGCCGCACTGGAAGAAATTTTGCACTTTTAGATTTTCGCAGAGGCTCCTCAGGAGGATCGAATTTACCCCTGAAAAGCCTCTATTTTGGCGCCAAGACTTCAGCTGTCAGCCATCCGCGAGACTGGCGCGGGGCTCGGACCTTGGACCTTGCCACGCGCCGAGAGCACGCTATCGAAATTCGAAGACGACCTATGGTCAAATTCGGGACATCGAATCTGTCAGGCAAGCCACGCGACGAGAATAGCCGGGCTCATTAGATGCGTACGAAGCCTTTCCCACGGTCCCGGGATCGCATCGTAGGACCCTTGAAACTAGGTTGCATTCGGTGAAGTCGAGCAAGAGTGTCTTGTTTCATTGTCTATTCACTTGTCTCTCGTCCCCAGCTTCCCAGCCCTATCTTGAGCAAACGCTTCCTTTTCGTCGGATTCTGACGAATTAGATTTCTCAGTTGTCAACGTCTGATCTCGCATTTTGCCTACCTATCTATTCTTGGTCTCGTCTACGATGGTCAAGTGGCTATCAGACAAAAACACCCGAATAATCAGGCAAAGTTGCCTAGATACGGTTTGGACAAGGCTAAGATTAGTAGAGATGGTCTCGCAAGCGCTGCGAGATGCCACGGGAGCAAGACCACGAGAAGTCTGCAAGTGTCTTTGGCATGTGGTAATTCTCTCGTGGTTGATTACTTCTATTCGGCGTCAGCTTGACAAAGTACATCTGAAGTTACTGAACATCGTACTTCTATCACAGAACTTTACATTTCAAAAGTCGTTTCTATCAGGAGAATGAGACGGTAACAGTAATTCAAGTGTATTTACGATTAGGCTAGCCAGCCTCTGAAATGAACTCTCAAATGCCAATCATTCCGGGGCGAGAGAAGGCAGAGCGATTCTATTTAGTAAGAGCAATCTTCTTCATCTCCTCAAAGTTGGGAAGGCCGAGTCCCGTCACGGGATCCCAACCCTGAGTGCCGTTCCATGTCGCAAAGGGAATCACACCGGAGCCCTGCAACGGCTTGCCCGACTGCAAATCCGTACCTCCGCAACCCTGGGCGACGCCGGTCGTGACATCGGTGAGGCCCTTGAAGCCTCTCTTGTACAGCCACGGATTCATGAAGCCCATAGTCGGCTGTCCGGCACGGATTCTAGCGTCGTTGAGGAGTCCGACGAGGCCGGCCATCAACGGGGCAGAAGCTGATGTGCCACCGGTTCCAACGAGCTTGTTGGCGTTAACGATGGCGAACGGGGGGCTGGCAGAGTGGGCTGCGATATCAGGGAACCCGCGGCCGGTGAAGTTGGCAAAGGGCTGGTAGTACGCCTTCACGTCAGCGGGGATGCCGGTCTGGAGGTACTGGGCCACCATCGTCTCCTGGTACCACGCCTGCTTGAAGTAGTTGCTGAAGCCGCTGCCGGACGCCACCCACGTGGTCTCGGGCCCGAATGCCTGGGTCCCGCCGACGGCGGTGATGTACGGGCACGTCGCGGGGAACTGCGGCGTGAACTGCGGTTGGTTGCTGCCGTCGTTGGCGCGGCACGGCGCGCCGACGCCCGTGTCGCCGCTGGACTCGAGGACGCTGACGCCGCGCAGGCCCATCATACCGATGAGATTGCACACGCGCGTGGCGTACTCGATGGGGACGGTCTGCTCGTCGTCGCCGTATGAGACGGAGAGCACCTGCGGGATCTTCTCGTTCTCCTGCGTCATCATGAACTGGTAAAAGTCGAGGAATGGCTCGTTCTGGTTGTCTGCCTGCGTCGGTGTGCGAAGGTTGGGGACCAGGGGCGGCTTGCCGCCTGTGAGGTACTGCGTGATCGGGAGGGTCTTGACGGCGGCGGCCATGACCTGGGCGTCGAGGTTGGCCTCACCGATGGCGCCCTTGGGGTCCTGGTGATCTTGCCCGCCGTTGACGAGAACGCTGGTGAACTTTTGAGCTGGCAGCTGGAACCTGCCCAGGAAAGCCGTGAGGTCGTCCTGGCGGGCGGACTGGTTGAGGAAACTGGCGAAGCCGACGCGGCTGCCTGCCGCCGGGTCGGCCTGGTAGGCGCCGTAGTTGTAGGCCAGCTCGAAGCACGCCGGTGTGAAGACCTTAGAGCAGTTGGCGGTCGCGCTGGGCCCGGTGCCCTGTCTGCGAGAGAGCGGCGCGGGCATCTGTGGCAGCTGGGCGTTTGTGAAGGCTGGGTCGGACTTCATGTTGCCAAAGTACGTCGTGGGCGTCACCAGCTCAATGTGCTCCGTCATCGCGTTCGGGAGGGAGTACTCGGTCGTCCGCAGCTTCATGGTGCCCTGGACGTCATAGTACGCAAAGGTGGCGCCGAGCATCTTGTTCGCGGTGCCGACGTTTGTCGCAAAGTTGACGAAGCGGCCGTTGTCCGTGTACGAGACGTCTGTGACGTTCTCGTTGGCGAGCCAGGTCTGGATGGCCTTGACTGAGGCCTCGGCTGGCTTGAACATGTCGTTGACCTGAGCCGTCGTCAGGTACTTACCGTAGTTAGGACTGTCCGGATCGGAGACGTCCCTGAGCATGGGTTCCAGCTTGTCGATATTTTGCAACTTGATGCCGATTTGGAGGTTGATCTGCTGGTCGTCTGCGGCCATGTTTGTCATCTGGACACCGTTGGCGAGCGCGGCTGCCCTGGACATGAGGCGGGCTTCGATGCCGGTGAAGGCGGCCGCTAGGGCCAAAAGGGCTTTGAGAGGAGCCATCCTGGTTGGCCTTCCTTGTCTCTTTTGCTATGAAGGGCACGAAGACGGGTTGATGATATTATCGGCGCCGTTCGTTCGTGTCTCGCAGAGGTCCGAACGTAAGAGAGCGCGGCGGGGGAAGAAGAACAAACCAGATAGCCCAGCTATGGAGGGAAGGGGAATGAGAAGCACATGCGGATTACAGGACCAGTTTGTATAACGATCTGAGAAAACGCAAGAAGAGCCGATTGGGACGAAAACGATCACGAGTCAACAGAGAGGGATTCAGGTCCTACCATACGGAAGTGCCCGTCTCGCCAGGGAACACTTCTCGGCCAGCCATCGAAAGGTTCCCCCTTAGCGCCGGGAACTGAATCTCCCCTCGAAGAACTTAATGCTTCAACTAGGACAGGTGCGACAGTTGTGACAGAACTTGTCGTAGGATCTTCGCGGCGGAGGCCTTCTTCGTCCCAACATTTTGCTCGCGTTTTGATCCCACTTAAGGTTACAGGTTTCCAAAACAATTGCAAATCCGCACGTTTCAACACACGAACCCTACCCCTTACCTGTCCAGTGCCGCCTTCGCAACTTGCCGGCGGAAAGACTAATAACTAGTCATGGTCCATGGAGAAGTGTAATGCAGGAACAATTAACCTTCTTTCGACGAACAATACACAAATTCTCACTCGGTCGTCGTATGCTATCTCGTTTGCGGTCTGCCATCCTCAAGCCTCATGATCTACTCGCTCCTGGGTTCGAGCTTGTGTTTGATTAACTCTGTCAGTGTAGACAGTAGAGCAGCATCTAATGCCAGCACAAGGTCTCTTGGAATATGATTTGTCGATCATCCGCCCTGCGTCGTGATTGGTGTTTCTTTCGCTTTACTCTCCGCTGTTCTAGTCCATGGCTAGAAGCAGCTTTCCCTGCAATCTGTGGGGGTGGAGGATGAACCGATCGCCAGTGTGATGTTCAAAACAAGCCAAGAGAGAACATGACAAGAGGTTGCATCTCTTGGCGATTCAAAAAAGCTTGATGCCCGTTACCGACTACCGAAAAACATCCCCGCAAATCGTCAGTGATAAGCAATCGTGCCGCTCTCTAGTCCGTCGATCACGTTCATGTCAGACGCGCGTATAGTCTCGTTCGAGAACACATCACCTAACTATGGCTCCGCCCGCAGATATCAAAAACCCAATGTCCAGCGAGTTTACGAAAACCTTTCTTCATTCTCATTCTAGCGAGTTTAATTGCGATTTCTTCGGCGCTTGTTTGGGAACATGGTGAGTTGCGAAGCCCAAGGGTGGCCTTGCGGAAAATGCAACTCGCGAGTCCGAGCTATACTCCTTTGATGCCAACCCTTTTCCTTGTTCCTCGACACTTTTCATCAATGAGTAACAGGCAAGACAATGGACATTGTGAAGTCATCTTCTCTTTGAAACTTCACAATTCTGAGTGCTTAGTGCGGTTTCGATGAATTCTTTGTCTAGGCTCATTTCATTTCCCCATTCATCTCTGCTAAATTACACATTATTCCATAAACATTTCGGTCAGGGGTCGAAGAAACCATCTCAACTTCCACAACATGAGGCGGTACTAAAACACGACAGAAAGTTCTTCCGACCGAGCGCCCTCACGACGAACCAGTACAACTTTCTAAAAAGGGTACAGGGGACTGACACAACACCATCAGGACCAACACTCTGTCCCGCTATGACAACCCGTCTGTGCGTCTCGAGATCGTTGCCGTCGCGATGAATTCAAATTGATTCACAGGAGGCACATAGGGAGCCACTGGTGGAAGAGGATGGGCATCCGGGATGACAATATTCACCAGAGCCTTTCTCCCGTCATACGGCGGCTTGAAGTATCTGCACGATGTCGATAATTTTCAACTCGTCAGCCAGACGAGCTGAGAAACAAAACTCTGAAATGACTTGCGAGTACGAAGGCAAGGTTTGGCCGGATACAAACTCACCGCGTGTCCCTGTAAAAGTGGTTGACGTAGAGTTCAAAGTTCGAGGCGGAACGAAACTTTGCCACCCTGAACTGGAAGGCGTCTGAACCGGCGCTCCAGCAGAGGACGCCGTTGCTGGGGTAGTTATTATCCGGGCCCTGGTTTGGAGTGATGCCGTCCCATTGCCAGGCCGTGCCGCAATGTGCTCCGCTGACTTCCACGACGTCTTCCGTGTTGAAATCGTAAACGTCGACTAGGTAGGGTAGGCGGCCGCCCCAGAAGTTAGTCTTGAAGGAATGCGTGGCACCAGTCCAGGCCAAGCGTTGCGCCGGTACGGTTTTGATGATCAACCGGACTTGAATACTACTCACATTTGAGAGTGCAAGTGTATCGCTGGTCTCCGTCCTGTTTACGGCAGACGGACTCGAGGTTGCTGAGTGTGAAGTCTTTCCATGGATACCGGAACTTGGCAGCTTCCTGTGCCTCTAGTACTGGCAATGCTGACACGAAAGAGTGCAAAGACAACAGCGGAAGCAATCTGAGGAATCTCATGATGAGCGTTCAAAGGGATTTCAAGAATAAATAACCTGGCTTGCTGAGAGATAGGTCAAGAGCTTTACAATATCGTTAACTCAAATAGATGCCACTCGACCTTTGGAACTAGACACAGGATCGATGCGAGTCCTTGGAAGAGCTTTATAGAATCTCGGGGAGACAGCATGTGACGGTTTCGCTGGTCTTCACGGTGGTAGCATGTCATATGCCCAGACCGCCCTTGACCAGGTTGCCATCAAAGACGGATCATGATGCAAGCAACCGACGGTATGCTCACGCGGCCCGGTGCGAGCATCCGCGGTTGTGCGTGGTCATACACCATGGCGATTGTGGATTATACGAGCTATCAACCGTGGCCAGATAAAGCTGGCAGTACGGTCAGGAATGACGAATGCGGAAGGTACAGATATGATGGGATGTGCCTGAACACATCCGGATCGCTGCTCATCTTAGGCCTCAGTCATACAGTTGCTCAAGGCAAAACAGGTCTAGCAAGTAATAAGAGCTACCGACGTTCGACAGAAGTTACGTAGTCCACAAGAAGCCACTCGTGACAGCCCTTGCGATCAAAAATCAACCATGGCTTATAATGTCCAATTGCTGATGTGGTCAAAGTAAGGCGGCAGAGGGGACAGAAAGAGGAACCCTGACCTTCAACACAAATGAGGACTACAAGAATCCCAATGACCACATTGTACCGCGCAGGAATTTGATGGCCTTGTCACTTGTCATGTCCGCTCGGCCCGCATACACTATTGCCTTCCATTCAGCGGGAAATCTTCAATTTTATGTACCAGGCTGAGCCGGTTCTGATCGTACATCCTCCATAGAATACCACGCGTCCTCGACTAAGGGACACTGACGTATCAAATCACATATAAGCAACGGCAGATCACAGATGATGTTTCCTGGTGCTACCGGGAACGGCAAATTGCCTCTCTACCTCTACTGTGAAACTTCGTCTAGACAGCGGAAGAGATGCCGCAGACAGCTGTTTGCTTGATACACGCTCTTTCCCTCGTCCCACCTCTGATAATTCACGGAACATCGGCACTCCAACAAGAAGCATATCCAGCCTCCTGGAAATGTAAGCTAGTAGCGTGATCAAATGCAGCCATCCAGCTGACGATGCAGCGCCCTTGAGCCGGAACGAGCGAGCTACGGAGCCGAATTTGGCCATCCATTCCTTTCCAGACAGATCTTGTAACTCCAGCTGCAGAGCAGTAAGCCAAAAGCCTTGCCGTTCTGGTAGCCAACGCATCTTTGACGTGATACCGCTTATAGGCTTTTAGAGCTGTTATCGGGGGTCGCTTGATGATTCCCCTTCCAGTATGGGAGGCAGCGATCGAGCGGTGAGATTTTTGTTCAGACATCCAATAGATATCCGAGGCTGGTTCTGGCAATTCTTGTGGTGTTTCCATTGTCGATCTCCGAGGTGAAGCCGTTGGAAGGCAGCGCAGCTGTCGCTAACTTGGCATTTGACTGGTTGCCCCACGGCTTGTAGTCGAAAGACAGGACAACACGTTTAGTGGCATATGATACTCTGATAACCAAGGCTAAAGATAACAGTCTCGCAGCACTCACACCGCTCTTCACACAGCTACGCTGACTATACGATTCTCAGTACAATGAAGCGATCACAGCGTTTTGTGCAGAGCACTCGTGTCACCGGTTCATGTAACTGCTCAGGAAGAACAGCCTGGGTAACTAAGCTTCGTGTTGCCAGCCCACGACGTAACCAGGATTGATCTTGAAAACCCCAACAGGACCTATTGCCACGAGGACTGTAGGTCGGACGGTGGAATCTAGGCACAGACTAGTCTCTTTGACGGCTCCACCTGTGACAGGCAAACGACAGACGGCGTTGCTGGTGTTGAGTGTCTTGAAGCAACGACTTGGCAAAGGTTAAACAGACCTTTCACACAATAAGGCACGCATTTGGCCTTGGGTTCTACCGGTCTCTAAGTGAATTGAGGACTTGTTTTGGCAGCTGAGATGAGACGTAGACAGCATTACCAAGGCTTGCACATTCTTGACACAGTCGACGACTTCGTTATGGTCCGGCTTCTGGTAGACGGCTCAACGGAGATGGGTCATAACCGTCAGTGGAAAGACCTCCTCGAAACTTCGAATCTCGACACCATGATCTCAAACCATAGTCCACTACTTTAAACATCATATCCTGGAATGTTAGAAAATGATTGTATCTTAATCATTATCCCACCCTAGCCAACGGCGGTGTATGAGTTCTTGGTTCGACATTTTTCCACGAGAACTCTGCTGGATTGTGTGGAAAGCCAGATCTGCAAATTGATCGTAATAACGTCTCATTACGTGGCAAAGGATCGCAGCGCAACCAGCGACCAGCCGTGTGTTATCTTACCGCGGGACACCTGAAAACAGACTGGGAAAGCTGTTCTCAAACACATGAGCTGCCAAATGTTCTCCAGAAAACAATAGGGAATAACTACCGATACATACCTTGAGACGGAAACAACGATACCTAATCATT